GCGGTTGTACAATTGCACAGGTTTCCAAAGTCAAATTAATTAACAAAAAGACGGGAATAAATAAATTAGTTGTATAATTTTGAAATGAGACAACTAATTATATAACAAAATTTGGAATTAGTTAGATTTCTTTATTTATTATTATATAATCAAATATATAAAGTATAATAGTAAAAAAGTTATAATTATCATGTATTAAAAATTATGTTGAGGAATCAGTAGTGATGATAAAAATGATGTTTTAAAGCGATGCATTAAAATATAAATAACTATCGTTTTAGTGCGTCAGAAAATATAGTGTGCTGAAACATTATTCAATATTTATAATTTGAAAAGGAGTGTCAAATTTTAAAAGAGATGATGGAGTTGCTCTCGGAAAAAAAATCAATTGAAAATAATAAAAAATAAAGTATGTATGCATATTTATTGAATTTATTCGATCAAAGAATATTTTGGCGGAATAATAAAAATTTAGTTGGAAAGAGAAGTCAACTTAATAACGAATCAAATTTTCCCACCAGATCCTTTCCTTTTTATATAAATTACAACGGCAAATAGAAAATGCTCCCCCTTTGAAACTCGCCGCTCACAGAACCCTCAACTCCGCCGTGAAGATGCTCTGTTCTGGCCGGATTCTAATCGTTTCTCACGCGCCGACGCCGTTCTATTCATCCCACTCCAACTCCCACTCCAGATTATATCTTCATGTAAAACTGAAAACTAACCTCAAAAAATGGCGATCCACGGCGTCAGACGCCGAAGCCGACCCCTCCTTTTCCGCTTCCGCCGATTCCGATTCCGATTCCGATTCCGATTCACCAGCCAAAATAAATTCCTCCACGTAAAATATATATCTTCTCATTTATGATGTGTAGCATCTGTTTTTTTCCGAATTGATTCTGTAATTTATTTATTTATTTTTGGGTGGGCGAATTGTTTTAATTTCTGGGGTGACTGAGGTGATTCTGAACTTACGGATGCAGGTTTTGTATAATCGAAGGGCCGGAAACGGTCCAGGACTTTGCTACAATGGAATTACAGGAAATTCAGGATAATATTCGGAGTCGACGAAAAAAAATCTTTTTGCACATGGAGGAGGTTACTGTTTTCCCTTTCGTTTTTCTTCTCCGTATAAACCTAAATTAGTTTAAACTAATCATAGTTTTAAATTGTTTTTTGGAAAAAAAGTTTTAAATTGAATTTTAACATGTTGAGGTAGTTTGTGAACTGTACGGTTATTTTTTCTATCATGAAATTTTTGTAGGTTCGTCGGCTTAGAGTACAGCAAAGAATAAAAAACACGGAGCTTGGGATTGTAAAGGAAGAGGAAGAAAACGAGCTTCCGAATTTCCCTTCGTTCATCCCATTTTTGCCTCCTCTGGTAAAACCTCTTTTTTAGGTGCTTGAAATGCGATCAATTGTTTGATTTATTTATTTCAATCTACAAACATTGAGTGTCGTCTCATAAATAAGTTTTCGTGCAGAATTCTACGAACCTCAAACAATACTATGCTTCGTGTTTTTCACTTATTGCCGGGATAATGCTATTTGGCGGACTTCTAGCACCTACCGTAAGTTCATCTGCACTTCCTAATGCCAATCCCCGTTGTATTTCATACTTGAAATAAATTACAAAAACTTTGATACGAATCGACTGCACTTCCTAATGCCAATCCCCGTTGTATTTCATACTTGAAATAAATTACAAAAACTTTGATACGAATCGATTATATAGTTTGATTGTATGCTCTCTACCATCCCATTAGTAGGAAAAATATACAAACCTAAGAAAATTAAATATGAAAAATAGAAAGAAAACGTACATGATCGATAATGTACTGGTAATTAATTCTGTTTAAGAGGAAACGAGAATTAGAAGAATGAATTATTTTTGTCACAGTTCTTGTGAAGTCAACGATGGTTCTTATCTCTGTATTGCCGTTTTGTTCTTTCACCAGCTGGAGCTGAAACTTGGAATCGGGGGTACATCATATGCTGATTTTATTCGCAATATGCATCTCCCGATGCAATTGAGGTATGCTTCAGACTGTTCGCGTTACTGCATTTTTGCTTCTGGTGCATTCAGATTACGTAACGAGTTTATTCGTGGTTGGGAAACTATCACTGTACCTTTTACTGCTCAACTCGATATCATGTAGAATAGTAGAACAATACACACATGTTGTTTAAAAAAATTAGAGGATTATGAGTGTCAACTCCATCAGCTTGTCTATGCAAGTAGTTAAGAGTTCGAGAATGTACAGTAGTATTATACGATAAAATCGAGTAGTTGTCAGAGTGGTCTGGCTGAGAGAGTATGTTTTATTAATTTTTATAGTGAAGTTGATCCCATTGTGGCATCGTTCTCGGGAGGAGCGGTTGGAGTAATATCCGCCTTGATGGTGGTCGAGATGAACAATGTGAAGCAGCAGGAGCACAAGCGATGCAAGTACTGTCTTGGTACAGGTAAATTAGTACATGATGTGCTTCTCGTTACATTTAATTCTTTTAACCATGACGTAATGGCAGGAAATATTGAATTCCCTATAAAACCGTTTTCTGTATTTACAATATTAAAATGAAAAAGTTGGAACATTTTGCCATGCAAGATGGGATTGCATGTTGATACTTTAAACCGATTTTTATTTAATTTAATTTTTTATTACAGGATATCTTGCTTGTGCTCGCTGTTCAAACAGTGGATCACTTGTTCTTATCGAACCAGTCTCGACATTAGATGACGGGGATCGGCCCCTCTCACTGCCTAAAACACAAAGGTGTTCTAACTGTTCAGGCTCCGGAAAGGTATATGCTCGATCTCACCATATTGTGGTTTACATTCATTTATCTTCACCTAGTAGTTGTTGCACGTATGGCGTAACGCGTCTTGTGCCCAAGATCCTATTCTTTGCTTGGAGGCGTAATCAAATTCGGGCCGAATTTATTTATCTTGGTGTGGACTTTCTAGTTTTGTTTGTTTTTTGCATTTCTTTTTCTGATTTTCTTTTCAATAGCTGCCTAATAATCGTTTATTCGATGTTTTGCAGGTGATGTGCCCCACGTGCCTTTGCACAGGAATGGCTATGGCAAGTGAGCACGACCCACGCATCGACCCGTTTGACTGATCGTTACTGCTTCAAGATATGAAAACCGAAACCATAGTTTTTAGTTATACCCTTACGGTTAGAATGTAGCATGTTATGTGAGGGCAAGTATTGGCATCAACATCCAGATTTAGTCTTAGTGATATATAAATAATGCTGTTAACATATAGTAAGGACAGAATTTGAGTTTATTAATTATTGCAAATTTAAAAGAATTCGATTTAATTTCACTAAGGATGAAGAACAGATTACTGTACTGACTACTGAAATACAGATTATGAGAATAAAACAAAGCCTTTATCTTTTATATAAATAAATATGACAGTAAGTCAAGTTGTGGAGGTCACAATGATTTATATTCCTCGATCAAACGAGAAGCATGGAGGCGGGAAGTAGGTACTATCGTGCATCCAAGGCTCTGTAAATATGAAATCTGTCATTTGCCCAAAAAAAAAAAGTCAGGTTTTTAACAGGTTTACGAAGAATACGGCAAGTGACTAATTGAAATATTTCATCAAATGATTACAATTGCATCAGAAAAGAAACCTCAAATATGAACTGTGGAGGTCAGCATATCTAGGCAACAAAAGACATTGTCAAACGATAAACAACAGGGAGGATAATTTACCTGTTTAGAAGTTGCTTCAGACGAACCCATCGAGTTCTCGATTCTTAATTTCTGAAAATGTTCCTGAACAATTGCAAATTGCAAATGGCTTTATAAACTAAAATTAAAAGGACCACGTGCGTGAGTCTATATTTGAACGAAAAGCAGCAAATACAGCGAAATAAAACAACGTAGTAACGCATGGTTCAGACAAAAAATATTGATCTAATTCAGTATGGATTATGTATGTATCAATATGGTACAAACTCATGGAGCTTAAATGTTTGATTTGGATGGTAATTTGAATGTCAAACAAAAGGTGGAGACGAAACAGAAAATTTGACCGTTTATTTTCAACTGTGCTTTCACTTATTAACCCTCGCCCCACCCAAAAAAAGAAAAGGACAAAAGAACTCGTTTTGCTGTGCAAGAGGAATTTTAAGGCACTCTAAATTGAATTCGAAAGTACATACCTGTTTCTCTCTCATTAGATAAGCACGCTTTTCAGCAGGAATTTGCAGCCAGTTCAGAACCTTCATTGCAAAAACCAAGAAATCAATTTACTTAAACAAGAATATGCAACTCAGTCTGGTTCTCTTCCATTATGTGAAAAATTATTACTTCCATATTCAACATGCAGTATATTTAGAAAACATAAACTTACTGATACGGCAAAGTGATGAGCCTCATCAGATGTTAAGCAAGATTTCAGCTCTCGTAAAACATCCTGAGAAATGAAAAATGAAAATGAATCATGTCCCCCACAAATATTTTGTGATAGCAACACTTTGACTGGGAAAGAGGAAAAGATTTGAGTGTGGATAATAGTACAACCTTGTGTGTGCTTTTCTTGGCCCGCAGTCGTTCATCAATGACAAAAGAAACCTGCATCAAACTGAATAATTGAGCACCATATTTAACATAAATTACTTGTCTCGTTTTCCATCAAAACCAGTAAATTTTGTCGATATTACAAGAGACCAATGTGAGCTTTCGACCATAGTGACTGAAACAAGAAGAAGAAATCTTCGTCCTTTCTTCCTCAAGTTACAAGACGATCCAAATTAAAGGATGCAAGAGAATTTTCATGGATGGAAATTTGATTAACCAAATGAGGGACTGAAAGGTATTTATCATGTACCTTAGTTAGTAATCTCTTGGGGTCATGAAATGCAGGCTTCTTGGCCCATTGATGGAAGAGATGGGAAACTATAGCTCGATCCTCGGCATTGAACCTGTAAAATTGAATTAAAAATCCGGGAGGATTTAAAATTTAAATACACTAACTACTACTGGCAATATTAGTTCATCAGAGGTATGTGTTCGAAAAAAAAAACCTTTTCAAGAAGTAGTTGCTACTGTAGTTTTCAAGTTCACTAGACTCTTTGAATGCTTCACTTAATAAATTGTCATCTGCATCGTGCTGTATTGTATCGTTTTCAGGAGATTCTGTTGCGAGACTAACAGAAACCGGTGGAGCTTCTTGCTTAGTTTGCGGGAAAGTCTTATTTGAACTCACTGAAACCAGCTCTTCCTGCAGAAAAAAATGGATAAGTAACGGTTATTGGACAATAAGCAAACTAATACGGCAATTTGTTTCTTGAAGTTAATGACAATTTCAATGGAAGGTCAACTCGAAACATCAACAGTTCATGAAGAGGTTGAGCATCAAGTATCAAATGGTCAATCGCAATCTTAAGGTAATAAGTATGCACCAATTCATTGGTAGAAATAACAAATAGTTCATGACGACTAAGGTTTTATTACTGAAATTTTCGTAGTTGGTTTGATTGAAAAGTAATATGATAAGTTGTGAGATAAATAAAAAAAGAAATGTATTCTTCACACATACCCAGCATAATTTTTACAATCAGAACAAATGATTTGATAATTGAAAGAAGTGTTCACCTGGGTCTCCATTAGGCTGCGTGGAATTTCTCTAAGAAACCGTGATGATTGAAGAACCTGAGAAGAAGTGCGTGGATGCTTAAATAAAAACCATAAATAGATACTAAAGAACTCAAAAGCAGATTTTTTTTTAAGAATTAAAGAACTCAAAAGCAGTTTGTTGACTTTACCTGCCAATTAGAATCCATAAGCACATATAGCATAAAAAGTTTTTTACGCGCACGAGTCATCGCCACATACAACAAGCGCCTCTCTTCCTGACAGTGGTAAAGCAGGTCAGATTATACAGGATATGCTTTCAATTCATGTAGGAAGTTTTCATTCAAACATAAGCTTACCTCAACCGAGGTGCCATTTTCGTTCAGAGCGCCATTGTATTCATGCAACAAGGGAATCTCATTTTCATTTACCTGAGTAACGAAAAATTATAATTCTTAATGCATGCAGCAGAATGAACATTTAATAGCCAAAGCTGAAAAATAAAGAAAAGCCAATATTCCAATTAGTACCTTCACAATGAAAACTGTGTCCCACTCCAAACCTTTTGACTGCAACACGTAAATAAGAGAAACAAAAGAGTTCGTGTTGGTAGAAAAGTTGATATTTGCAGTAGCACCAAACACAACTAAACCTGGAGTTTATGGCATTGATTGTGGTCGAACCTGATGGATTGTAGTAAGGGTAACGGAATCTTCATTCTCATGCTTTCTTAATTGAAAATTTTCTTTTTCCCGTCCAGAAATATAGTCAAGAAAATCCTTAAGTGTAGTCATGCAACCGTTCTTCTGTGCTACACTATCATTGGATTCTGCAACATTGTGTATGGTAGTCAAAAATAGGGACAAATCATCTAATAGATACTGCAGCACCTGCATAGTAAGGCAGTTTACGGTTTGTTATATGTATGTATGTACTCATAGTACCAAACGCATCATTGACAATGGATACAGAATAAAGAGATCCTTCCTTACAGATCGAATATCATTATCTTCATTCAGCAGCTTGCCTCCATCAACATCAAGAACTGCTCGTTGTTCAAGAAGATATTTCTACAGAAGCAAAGATCGGGAAGCACAACTTAAATTGTGGTAATTCAAGTACATAAAACTTCATTTGTGCCAGTTGTAATAAATAAATTTGAAAAGGTTACTACTGCAGAGCATTGCTCGTGAAGGATACAATTGCAATACAATTAAGAAACAAGAAAGTGAGGGAAAAAAGATTTAAACCACCGAGAAGTTCATCAAGAACAAAAAATCCCTCCTAATATTTAAGATGTATTCAAGATAAACTGAGGTTGGAAATAAAATATTCAAATACGATTTTGAAGACGAAAGAAAGGCTGAAATGTGAATCGACAAAATTTAAGGTATCCAGCATTGTTCAATACCGATAGAGCGAAAATGTTTAACAACAAATAGCAAAAGGCAGCTATACATGATATAATTGCATACATATATCTCTTTTGAATGGATGCGTTAAAGCAAAACCTAACCTGAGGTATCATGTTTGCCACAGAGGTGATAACAGCTGAAATTGATTGCTCCTGCAAGCACGAAATATGGTGGGATAACAATTTTATGAAGATATATGGGAAGCAGAGTATCGGAATAATGTTACAGAGTGCGTGCATATTATTTCCAGAAAATTGTATTGCAAGCATAGGCAAGGATCCATGAAAACGTAAAACAAGTCTCATTTTTTTAAAATGTTAACTGAAATTAACATCATAATCAATAAATAATCTGTGGCACTGATCGAAAATATTTCACAATAATGAACAAATTAAATTGGTGATCTTGCAAAAACTATTCACGCGCGCCACTCAAATTCATCAAGTTGACTTACCCTACAGACAAGTTTTGATATCATGTCTAGAGTGAGCAACACCTTTCTTCCTTGTGTCAGTTGAGTCCTATAATGAATTGTATAATCAAAATTAAGTACATCTTATAAGAGATTGGCAAGCTTCATAAGTCAATTTCAAACTGATAGATAACACCAAAACACATTAAAAAAAAAAAAAAAAAAAAGGCCTGTATGGATCACATATGAATCAAAATTATATAACAAATTATATAACCAACCTTTTAAATGTTCCAGATATTTTGGCACTAAATATATCAGATGCTGCTGAAATAAAGCTGCATCTCCTCACAGTCGAAACCTTGTCAATGTGTTCAATTACCTGAAGAAGGGATGAACAAGTAATGAGACTGCAGTTTACTAGTCATTTAAAAATTGTCACCTAAAAGTGAAACCTAAATAGATGGTAAAAGACTAGGGATACCTTCTTCTTTTCATCTTTATCAAAAGGAAGTAAAGCCTTGAATACTCGACGAAACGGGCCATCATCACAACCAGGCAATGTAGTACTCAGCAAGGAAATAATGGCTCGGACAACCTGTTAATGAACAAGACTTGCTCAATCAAAAAGATAAATGGGACTTCATGAAAAGACGTAGGGAAAAGGGTTACATTCCCCTTTCAAAGGTGCTATAAAAAGAAATCAATAGACAGTAATTTTCGCAAACAAAAACTGAAATGCCTGCTACCTTTTTGCGATAGAAAGCCACACCGTGAATGTTAAATGGAATTTTTCTATTGCGGAATGCGTTTTGGAATATTTTCCCTGTAACCTGATCCCAGGAGAATAGACAACATAAAGTAAGAGTGCACACAAAGTTTAACTTGTGCCAGTAATTAAATGAAAAGCATAACAAGAATTAACTTAACCTGCCTCCGGTAAAGAACAGCAATATTGCCATATGAGCACTTAGCAGACGAACCATCTGATGCAATTTCCATAATTTTATCAACCACAAAAGCACACTGTGCATCTTCATTGCAACATTCCTTGATGGTTATCTGATAAATACGATAAAAAAAAATCTTATTAGTCATTACAGAAAGGGAAAAATCATATCTGTTAGAGAGATGTTTACCTTGGATCCAGAGGAATTATCGGTCAGAGCATCCTTTGTGTGGCATCGCTTTAAATTATTTCGTATAAGAGACGATGCAGCTTCGACGATACAGCGGGTGGACCGGTAATTTTGATTTAGTCTGACCTGAATAAATTATGAAAGCAGATATTATTAAAACACCCCCATATGAAAAAAATTGTAGCATTTTACAGATGGGCTGGATATTAAGAAACAAAAAGATATCAGCCAAACCTCTTTGTACATTGGAAAGTCTTTTCTAAACGAATCAAATCCACAAGCATTAGCACCATTGAAACTAAAAATTGACTGCAGGTTGATATGTTGGATTAATTATAAGAGACTCATGAAAGAAACATAGAGAGGTAAATACAGATGAAAGATCTCCAAAATTCCAGAATGAAGGGTATAAGGATGAAATCCACCTGATCTTCATCACCAACAATAGTTATGCGTTTATGGGAAGCAAGAGTCTGCAGTAAGCCATACTGCATGGCACTTGTGTCCTGAAACTCATCAACCACAATTGCTCTCCATGATTCTTGGCACTCAACAAACACTTCAGTAGAAAAACATGAATTAAACAAAAAAAAAACTGTCAATAAATAATATTTTAAATTCGATTATTTTAAAGGTCAGATGGTAGGAACCTTCTGGAAAATCGGTTAGTAGCTTCACGGAACAGCTGATAAAGTCATGGTAGTCCAAAGCATTACAGGATTTTAGTATTTCGTTGTAGTTCTGAAGAATAATTGCCTGAAGTAGAAAAAAAAAGACAGAATGCTGAGATAAACAAAAAAGCTCAGAAAGAATTAATAGACATAAAACACTTTGAAAGCTTACTCCAGTCTCGTCACCGATTTTATGAAAATCTGCAGGTGATCTTCCCGCCGCTTTTGCCTGAATTACACCAAATTATGCACAAAATGTGACAAAACTATATCTGGTAATCTACTTGAAAAGGGCAACTCAATTTTATACCAGTATTTGACCATCGGCCTGTCCATGACCAACCTTTAACACATTACCATAAACCAACACAAGACACGTGAATGTAATAAATCCAAAAACTTATACCTCTAGCCCAAACAAAACATTATTTCACATTATTAACCTCAATCACGAGCTAGTTCAAATTCTTGAACACACTACTAATTGTATTCTAAGATTCTAGATAGGGGATTATTCACTCCTCAATTGTACTTTCATTGATACAGACAAATCTTGTTTAGCAATACAAAAAAATGATTTATTGGCACACTTCCAGATTAACAAACTTTAAAAGACCCACTAAAATTTTATTCAGTATATTAAATGGCATATGAAGGTAAATATATATTACCTTAGTTACGAACTTAAGCCATTTCTTGGCATTGTCTTTAAAATGTTTGGGAGAATTGACATCCGACAGCTCAGTGAGCTTGCAAAGCTCGGGATTGGCCCTTCTTTTTCCATCCTCCAACAGGCGGACAGACTCTATAATAGCTTTCCTCTGTTGCCCGTGCCCATATATTAAAAAATCAGGAGTGCGGTCTAACCTATTATTACATGAGTTAACATGTTGATATTTTGGTGGATATGGTCTTTATGAAAAACTTGAGCTAAAGTTATATGGCTCAGATATAAGAGACGAGTGGAAATACTAGAAAAGTAAAATCAAAACTCAAGTATGTCTTGTTTTAAGAGTAAATAGGATGCAAGAGTGAACTAATTCCTTCAGCCAAAAGCAAATTTCTCAAAAATAATGTAGAACAAATATTATCTTTGATGAATTGGACATATACATACTTCTCAGCATGCAAGCGACAAAGTTGCAACGAAAACGAGTGGAATGTGCTGATAGTGAGTTCTTTTGCAGCTGCCTTTCCAGCAACTTTCCCTATCCTCTCTCGCATTTCAGCTGCAGCAGCTGTAGTGAATGTCATTGCCAGAATATTGGATGGACTGATTCCCTGGAATTATTCAAGGACAAACATACAAGAAAACGGACCCAAGGGAGGAAGGCCAAGCAGACAGGTTAAGCTTCATTCAGTAAACATGATTAAAGCAAACATTCGATTACACAATCATACCTCACATAGAAGCATTAATACACGTCCAACCATGGTAGACGTCTGATACAAGAACCAGATAAATTGTCAACACAGAAATATAAGCAAGATGCAATTTAAGTTACTGGAGAAAAACGGACCTTTCCGCTTCCTGGTCCAGCAACAATCACCAAAGGAATTGAAATGTCACTACAAGCTGCTTCCTGTTGCTTATCGTTCAGGGACTTAATATACTTTGCATATTCCGCAGGCATATTATTTGTTAGTTTATTCTCCGAGTTAACCAACTCGTTGACTCCACATGCTCTTTCATTAGCAGAATGTAAAACTTCTTCCGATTTTATAGACTCGCCACTAACATCAATATTTGTGATGGTGATGATATTCTCCTTGCAACTTTTACCAACAATCTCACTTTCCGTTCTGTTATCGTCCCTTCTAGAGTTTCCGGACATTTTTTCTCCACATAAAGCATCGATTTGTTCTAATATTGACTCATCAAAATCATTGCTCAAAGCATCAGACATCAAAACAGAACCATTCAAATCAGGAAAGAGTAATGGTTCCATCGATTTCTTATTTAAACCTGACTCAGTTTTATCCGTGATCGATCCATCTTTCGAAGAAAGGCCTACTTCTTCCACACCAAGACCTTCACAATTCAATTCATTACTACGAGTGTCTCCTAAATACCGGGTGTTGCTGAATTCACCTTGCTTAACAGGAGTTGTAAGTATTTCACTCTTCACCCCATTCTTTACATCATCACAATTCCTTCCGGACAACTTCCGATCTTTCAAGTTTACTATGGATGGTGTGTTTGTACAAATATGGGAAAGGGGCAGCCTCTTAATCCCATCAACGCGATTCAGACTATCGATTTCATTCTCATTCCCAGACCTGAACCAACCAAAATTATGATCTCATAAACCAAGTTCGAATAATTATGCACAAAGAAAAAGGATAAACAGAGGAAAATTAATTCGATTCAACACGAGGGAAAAAGAAAAAAAAAAGTAAGAATGGAGGAAGTGCTAGAGTCGGACCTTGGCCGTTTGCGGGCGAGGAGTGCCTTGGCGGCTCTGAAACTTTGGGAAATTCGAGCCTTCTGCTCGGCCGATAGTTCACCTCCGGCGGGTGTAACCACCGCATTTTCCTTGTTGCTCATCTCCTCTGTATCTTCTTCATACAGAGAGAAACTGAGAAATGCTCGTGTTTGTTAAGAAAATTGGGAAATCAATGGAACCCTAGGAATCAGTTTAAATTTTTCCCTCCTATGTAGGATACAGTCTAATGGCGCAATTATTTATTCTTTTTGGCCTTTTGTGATATTTAAATCTTGGGTGAAAAAAATTGTTTTCCAAACACCATTTATTTTTCTAAATGCACTCTACTAAACATCATCATCTTGTGTGTAAGGGTATAAATGAGCCGGACGGCTCGACAAAAGCTCAAACTCGAACTTGAATTTTTCGAGTTCGAGCTTTTTGACGAGTTGAACCCGAGCTCATTTTTGTTTGTTCATGAGCTCGCGAGCCGGCTCGCGATTTTTTTTTTTTTTTTTTTTTTGTTTTAAATATGATTAATATAAAATATATAATAATTCATTTAAATAATTAAAAAAATATATTACATGTTATTTTTTTATTTTAATTTATAATAATAATATTAATATAAACAAAATGACTCATGTTCGAGCTCGACAAGCCCAGCTCGCGCGAGCTTGAACTCAGAAAAAAATATTCGAAGAGCTCGAGCTCAAACTCACCAAAACATAAGCTCGACTCGAGCTCGGCTCGTTTACACCCCTAGTCTAGTGTGGTTTACATTTCTCGTATGATTTACAAGCTATTATACGAGAGTGCAAGTTTACCCAGCGCACATATATAGTTGATTATGGGTTCCTTCATTACAAAAGAAAAAAACTTACTAAATAGAATTTTTTAACTCCAATGAAGTTATAACCAAATGACGGTTTTATTTTGACAATTCATCTCTTTAAATGTAAATATACTTGCTGAAAATTGAGTTATAAAAAATATAACAATCATTACAAGTAAAGCCACCCATAAACTTCCAACTGATAATTAATTTGATAACCACAGTTGGAGTAGATGAATTATAAATCAATATTAAAATACTATCTCAATTATCAAATGAGTATTTAATAACTCAATTTTTATATCTACCATCGGAATTGCTCTAACCCAATTTTCACTTTGATCAACAAAAAAGATATTTATTTCTTGTTTGTTTATTTATAATATCTAAATCTATGTTTACAAATTTGGCACACAACACATCCAGCAGGAATTCAATTTGAAGTGCAAAATTGCATATAGGAGCCCGGCGTTATATCCCACATCGGAAAACCAGTGCAACGAGACCGAGAAGCCTCCTACATAAAGAAATCCTAACATAGTGGTTGAAATCATGGAGCTGCGCAGTGAGCACATAGCGAACTATTCTTTCGCCTTTTACTAAAGAATATCGTGTGCTCGCTGCATTTAAGCAGCATACACCAATTTTTGGAGGGTTCCTCCATTTGTGGGGGTTCCCATCAACAATTAAGTTGAATATTTTATTTGTTAAATTATATATTTGCCCCCTCGATTATTTTAGTTGAATGAGAGTACCTTTCACTTGAATTGGGAAAGTTCATTTAAAATTATGCTTTGAAACTATTAATTATTTAATTATATGTTGGTTATTCATTAATCATTGTTATGTTCTAAGTTAAGTATATATTACTTATGGGTACATTGTATTTCACTATTCTTGTTATAAATATGCCCTAATTCCTTTTTTTTTTAAAACAAATTACCCCTAAAAATGCATCATATCAGTGTTCTTCTCGGTCACCATCGGAGGGTCCAATATTCTTGACCGTCTAATTTGGCACTACTCACCGAAAGGAAACTTCACCGTAAATCTTGCTACAAACTCAATTTGGCGATTTTAAATGCTAGAAACAGAAATGCGAATCGAGAAGGCCAGGTTTCAAACATGCATGAGTCCTCTCTTGAGTCCACGATTTGGCATAGTAAATTACCTCCGAAAGTGTGAGTATTTCTATGGCGCGCGAAACAAAATATAATTCCGACAGCTGCTGAACTTTTCCGGCGTAAGATAGGGACGTCCCCTTCTTGCTTGAGATGTGGATCGATCGAGACTTTCATGCATGCGATTATAGAATGCGAATATATTAAGAATGTATGGCAGAGCTATCCATTTCAGACTTTGTGTCGGATCCCTCTCAGAATTTTGAGTGCTGGCTAAATCATATGAAAAACACTCTACAAGAAGAGCAACTACTATTGGGTCTCATTGTCTGTTGGAAGCTTTGGGATGTGCGTAATTAGACTTTGCATGGCGAAGAAACGACGGCCAAGGAAAACATAATGGAAGCACTTACAAAGCATGATCATAGTCATGTATCATTTGATGCTTTGATAGAAGAAACTTTGAGTCTGGCTAATGTTTTTCGTCATGTTTCGTTGCAATTCATTAAACGTGCTGGAAATAGTCTAGCTCATGCTTTAACTAAGTTGTATGATAACTCCTGCTTGGAAGGGACTGGTCTTCCCCCAAAGTTGGCACAGTTTGCCTAATAATATGGTTATTTCATTTAAAAAAAATGAAATAAACTCTATTACTTTGCACTTAGGGAGATGAAAAAAGATGAATTTCATAAATTAGTCTAACTGTGTATGATAATATTGATCAAGCATATCTAGTCTCTCCTTCAACAATTTATTTTTACACAATAGAAGTCGTTACTTGTAGAAAATGTGAATACCTAGTTGAGGTCGAATGGTGGGACTGTGGAATCACCGAATTAGGATCGATTGAAATCAGCATGCTTGGAAAATTCGACTTTCTTTTATGCTAGTGTAAAAACTAGTTCATTTGTAGTTGTTTTGGATTTATTTTTTAATCGGAATTAAAAACTCACTTCAAAATTAGATTTTCTTTAATTGAAAGTTGCAAAATTTGAAACCGTTGTTTCTTTATGTTTGATGCAAAATATAAATAGACTATATGTTTGATGTTGTAAATGTAAATTTCATAAGATTTTTTTTTTTTAATTTTTGGAAATTGAAATCGGATTGAAAATCAGAATCTAATATATAATTTCAATTTGAATCCAATGTTTCAAGAAGAAAAAATCATTTTGAATCGGACGAAAATTAGGCTAGAGAGGTTCTCACTAAGATAAGAAAACAAGCTCAAAAAACAACCCTAAGTAGAGCCTTGAATGTAGGAATTTATCACCAAGTTGTAAGGATTTCTAAGAGATCTCTAAAAATCTCTATATTTACTTACCTTCTAGAATGTAATTTGAATATAAAATGTTCGTTAGAACCACTCTCAACCGTATTATTAAATTAATCATGCCATCAATTAGAAACGTGAAATATTATATATAGGAATAAAATTTTATTTGTAAATCAATGAAGCAAACTTGTAGACACAATAGAGTCCATAGGCTCCTTATATCAAACAAAAAAAATGTGTTAAAAGGATCCTTGTTTTAAATATGCTAAAGGCATCCGGAATATCAAAACCGATCCTAAAAATGGTGGTATTTTAACTATTTTCGTTTAGTTCAAGTCTATCTTATATTGATGATTAGGAACATAAAATCTTGATTATGGTGGTTTTTTTAACTATTTTCGTTTAGTTCAAGTCTATCTTATATTGATGATTAGGAACATAAAATCTTGATTATGGTGGTTTTTTTAACTATTTTCGTTTAGTTCAAGTCTATCTTATATTGATGATTAGGAAGATAAAATCTTGATTAATTAGTACATAGCAAAATGTGTATATAACAATAAACCATCACGCATAGAATTAAGATAATTTTTTTTTCTCATTAGACATGTTGCACCTTTTATCGGTTCTATCTTGCTGGAGCGAGCACGATAGAACCAATAAAAGGTGCAACATGTCTAATGAGAAAAAAATTTATATAATCATCGTACTTATCTTGGATTCGGTGAATGGGCTATCAACGAACCTATAAGGGGTGGGTAGTTTTCTTTTCTTTTTTTCTTTCTTTTTCTTCTTTGTGATACATAACTTAATATTACTAAGTGTATTATAATATCCTTTATACATTTATGAAGGAATTGTCATAGATTATATATAAAAAAAATATAATTTCTTTAAATTAATAAATAATATTTTACATTGAGCTAATTTCAGATTAAAGTTATTCCGTTCAACTAACACTAAGTTAAATCAAGTTTTAATAGAAAAAAGAGACGCAAAGAAAATAACATAGTTGTTATAGAATAAACTCACTAACTATATAAGTTATGAATATATATACTGAATAAGCAATAATAATATTGCAATACAGTAGCTGAATTGAGTAAATGAAACTGCAATGGAAAGAACTTGTATATTGCTATTGTGAAGAAAATTGAGGAAAGCTTTTGCAAGTCTTGTCTCCTCTTTTATTCATTACCGAGATGTATTTATACAAAATAAATAGTAGCATTGTCATGCTAATTGGATGATATCTTCTACACAAGAGTGACACGTATTATACATGTCTTAGTCCATAAGAATTGTAGATATATATTATAATACTCCCCCTTGGACTAAGTATTACAACTAGCGGCTATAAATTGGATGAGTAAAATATAGATATATGCCTCGTTAAAAACCTCATGCCGGAAACCCAGTGGGACAAAACCGGTCAGAAGGGAAAAAGAGTGCATAACTCAATCCAAGCCGTGTGCATAAGCTGCCTCGTTAAAAACCTTTGCTGGAAAACCCAATGGGACCAAAACCAGTCATCAAGGAAAAAGAGTGCAGCGCACCATTGCTCCCCCTGAAATGAGCAGTATATATAGCTTTCAAAATGGGACGTCAATCTTGCTTCACATTGGCTCTTCTCATTCCAATGGCGTATACCAACTTCTCAAATGTAGAAGTCGGTAAGGACTTTGTAAGCAAATCAGCAAGTTTTTCACATGAGCGAATTTGTCGAACATCAATTTCGCCATTCTTCTGAAGCTCATGTGTATGGAAGAACTTTGGTGATATATGTTTGGTCCTATCACCTTTTATGTATCCGCCCCTTGTTTGTGCTATGCAAGCAGCATTATCTTCATAAATGACAGTGGGCGAGGCTGTAACTGGATGTAATTGGCAGGAGTTTCGTATATGCGAAATAACCGATCGTAGCCAAACACATTCTCTGCCTGCCTCATAAAGAGCTATTATTTCTGAATGATTTGAGGAGGTGGCCACCAATGTCTGTTTG